ATCTGGCTTATTCAGGCTGGGTCTCCATACAAAACAAAATGCTACTATCACCAGCATTTTGTCTCTGGTATTCATTTCAGCCACCCTCCACTTGAGTCCCTTGCTCTCAGTCCTCCTTATTTGGACCTCACCTAGCTCTCGGGGATAAGACGTGGGTTGGCCAGCTATCCTACCCTGAACCTTGGTGTCTCTCCCAGGACATCATTCTGGCATTGTCTTCCAGCTTCTCATACATCCACCACTTTGATGAAGGACTCTCCTTCTGCAACCCCATTTAGGACCTCACCATGGTCTTCCTTTTACTTTATTTTGTCCTTGAAAATAGGAAACCAAATGAAAGGCAGGATGGGAGAGCTGGTGATGAGGCTGGCAGCCATAGTCAGGCTTGAGTAAAGGAAAGAGGGACAGAAGCAAACAGCTGGCTCGGAGGCTGTCAGGTGTAATTGGACTCTGAGAGGGGCGCCTGGGTGACTCAGGTGGTTAAGCATCTGACTTTGGCTTGATCTCACCATTTGTGAGTTCGAGCCCCACATCGGGCTCTCTGCTGTTAGCATGGAGCCTGCTTCAGATCCCGTCTCGCTTTCTCTATGCCCCTCCCCTGCTTGCTCTCTTTCTCTCTCTCAAAAATAAAATAAATACTTAAAAAAATTAAAACAAACAAACAAACAAACAAACCTAGACTCTTAGAGTGGAAGATGTGAACATGTATGGGAAATCCAAGAGATTTCTTTTAAAGGAGGAGAGGAATAGTAAAAACGTTCAATTATAAAGACACACTACAGCTTATAGTGTAAACCCCAATCAGATGGTTAATAAACATCCTCGCCTGTCTAAGGAACAGCAGCAGTGACAGGTTTTTCTAGGGTGAGGGAGCTTTAGCTTCTCTACAACTTCCACCAGCTTTCCCCCTCAGTTCTTTGATCTGAACATGTGACATTTTCTCATTCTTATGGAGAAGGCTCTGCAAAAATAGGTTTAGGACAAGCCTGCTAGGCTCTCCTTTCCACCATATTGAGCCCCCTATGAAATCCCTATATAGAAATTCTAGATTCCCTATTGAAAGTAATAGTTTATGTCTATCGAATATTGACTACTGTACTTAAAATGTATACTTTACTTTTATTTTTTAAATGTTGGTTTATTTCTTTTGACAGAGAACGTGAACGAGTGAGAGCAGAGGAGGGGCAGGAGAAAGGGAGAGAGAATCCCAAGCAGGCTTCTCCACAGTGTCAGCACAAAGTCCCTTGTGGGGCTCAAACCCACGAACTGTGAGATCATGACTTGAGCTGAAATCAAGAGTCAGACACTTAAGTGACTGAGCCACCCAGGTGCCCCTAAAATGTATACTTGATTTTAAAACATGACCATGAGGTACCATGTATTTAAAATGCTACCATTTAATGATTCTGAAGAACCAGTAATCTTATGCTATATTCCCAAATAAGTCACAATCATAAATGCCTTCTTCCATAACCTATAAAAATAAATCTAGCAGTATTCACTTCCTCACAGGTGGCTATTTGATGAAGAATAATGAACATCTTTATCACCACAGACTGATACTGAGCAGTTATCTGCAGAGTCTAGACAGCAGATCATTTTTAGCTAAGAGTCAGAAAGAAAATGTATCTGAAGTGTGATGTTGTGAAAAATGGGTTTTGCATTCATGCAGACCTGGTCTGAATCTTGGCCTCACTATTTACTAGCTCTGTGACCATGGGTCATTTATTTAACTTTGTGCTTCAGCGTATTTATCTGTAAAAAGACAGATAATAGTATGTCTCTTGCAGTGTTTTTTTAGAGGGCTAAGTAAGTGATACTGTCTGATATGCTATGTCTGGCATTTAGTGGCTTGTTACTGTTGGTGATGGTGTTTTTAAGTATATTTCCCGAAGGATATTCTCTCTTATTCCAGCCCCCTTCCGGAGACAGCATGAGGTTGGATCCATAGTTAGATTGCAATGGTTCTTAACGCCAGCTACACTTTAGAATTGCTTCAGGAGTTCTTTTCAAACATAACAATGATAGGCCATGTCACAGAGAAATTCACTCAAAGTCTCTGGAGGTGGAGTCCAAGCTCACTAGGGAATTCTAATACGCATCAGGGAGTGAAAAATCACTAGAACAGAGGAACCGTGGATCTGAATTTGCATGATGTGATGGTTAATTTATGTGTCAACTTAACAGGGCCATGGGATGCCCAGATAATTTGGTTAAACATTATTTCCTGGTGTGTCTGAGCGGGTGTTTTTGGATGAGAATGGATCTGTAGACTGAGTAAAGCAGATTGCCCTCTCAATGTGGGTGGGCATCATCTAATCTCTTAAGGGCCTGAAGAGAACAAAAAAAGGCAGAGGCAGAATTTGATCCCTGCTGGACTGAGTGAGCTGGGGCATTGCTTTCTCTTGCTCTCCCCCTGGGCTCTCTTGGTCTTCCATCTAGAATATATCATGAAATTTCCTGAGTCTCCAGCTGGCAGAGAGCAGATTGTGGGACTTCTCAGCCTCCATAATTATGTAAGCCAATTCCTTACAATACATATCTTTATATATACATATACATTTATGTATGCATGTCTATATACATGTATATGTATATATATGAATATATCTTTGTCTACATCTATATATACTATTGGCTCTGCTTCTCTAGAGAACCCTAATGAAGGTAACATTCTTACGATCCTGAGTACTCTACAAATGTGAGAAGACTATCCATTCTTCTTCCTCTTTGGTGAGAAACATGGACCTCTGTTTCCCTAAAACCAGTAATTAAAGTTTGGTATCACCCTAGATTCAGGTCCAGGGTGGAAGGATTTGGCCGAATATATTTGCATAAATATAATCCTAGGTACCGTATGTTGCAGTTATCTAGAGGGAAGTATAAATTAAGTCATGTTTATATTTAGGGACCACTCATGGATGTTCATATTTTTGATATATGTATGTTAATCCATTGTAATCATTAACTCTTTTCATGCAAAAATTGTCCTATCTTTGGCCAGTGGAAAACACTTCATGTTGACTCTAGTGTTGTCTTAATATGACCTGATAGCACTTAGCCAATGTCAGCTACTATTATTATTACTTATTCTTATTGGTAGATGGACTGTCATATTCTTGAAAATGAAGGTTGTGATGAAAGTATAGTCTGAGAACTAATGATTTTTAAAACACCGAGTTAAGTTTTTATATAAATGCAAAAGGGTTGTGGGGAGAGGAAAATAATAAGGCAAGGTTTGAAAGGGGAACACATTGTTATCTCATGCTACATTTATAGGCATAAAGGATTTTTTTAACCACTTCCTTACCAACTCAATCACCTTTAAGACAAAGTCAACATTGTATTTATTTCCTGTAGATTTTATAACCTCCCAGAAGTTTCCTGGTAAGCCCCTGTATTAAAAAGAACAGGTGATATCAAGGCCAAATGCATGTTCCTGACATAAATAGCAGGAAGTCTATGAAGTGTTTGTTGTAAGAAGAGTAGGGCTGAAGCATATGCTTGAATATCTATAAGCACAATATGTTCTGCGGCACCATATAACACCTGTGTGGAACAGCCAAGCCATATGTTTCTGAAATCATACTTTAAAAATTACTACGTAGATGTCAAAAAGGAAAATGCACATTTGCACAAAAGATAAACATGTGTTTGCTATTAGCATAACTCTTTATGGTTTCCTGAAATCTTTTCTAATTGTAAAAGTTTTTATCTTGTAGCATATGCCAAAATGTCTTTTAAAATCATTAAAGTATAACCACCTAAAATCTTAGAAGCATATTGTCAAAAGGGTGATATTAAAATTTCTATACAACGTTGGGATTTAACCAGCAATACCTTTAATCCAACTCATGGAACTTAGTATTAAAAACTCCATGTGTCACAAAACAGCCAATGTTAGATCTATTATCCTCTGATATTTGCTTAGTCTCAAGGGGAGAATGTTTGACTCTTTTTGGCCGAAGACTTAAACATAATGTTAAGGTGGTCGGTGCTGTCCATGTGCCTATGTGGTTTGGGGTTAGAGTGAGCAGGGAGGGGATGTAAGAAGGATGAAGGAGATGTTTTCAGCCTGCTATATGTGGGTAGGGAGTTTTCTACATGCAGTATATAATAGAGGGGAGGAAGACTTAAAAGTTGGAATAAATGGAAATACTAGCTTTGAAAAAATCAGAAAGAAATGCAGGATCATTAGTAGTTGACATTTGCTTTCCCAATGGTTTGATCTATGGTGCTTTTAGACCCACAATTTTTTTTTTAATGTTTGTTTATTTTTGAAACAGAGAGAGAGAGAGAGACAGAAAATGAGTGGGGGAGGGGAAGAAAGAGAGGGAGCCACAGAATCTGAAGCAGGCTCTAGGCTCTGAGCTGTCAGCACAGAGCCCAATGCGGGGCTTGAACCCACAAACCGTGAGATGATGACCTGAGCTGAAGTCAGACACCTAACTGACTGAGCCACTCGGGCGTTCCTAGAGCCACAATTTAATTTAACTGAAAGGATAACTTAACTGAAAGACTTCTTAAAATGTGTTTCTAAATTGAAGTCTTCTTTGAGCCTATTTTTAATGACTAGCATAGACATTGATAATTAGTAACATTCATTTGGAAGACATTATTTGATAAAGCAGTGAATATAGTAAATTGACATAGTAAAGTAGTGAATAGCATTTTGTTTCTGTAATTAGGTAAAACAACCAAATTTCATTTAGTAGCCATTAATTTGCTGAGTAAACCTCCTAGTCACAGTTAACATGAAAGAAAACATTCATACAATTCTGGTCAAAACATTATGAACTCTTGGTTAATTAGGGTCCAAATTACTGGGGTGGTTCTATATGAGTACAATGAGATGCTCTGTACAAGACTTTGATGGAATAAGTCTGGGATATATGCTTCACAACTTTAACTTTGTCTCTCCCTTGGAGATTCACAGGGTACATAGCATATCAAAAGACTATTCTAAGATATTGTGTAATAACAAAGCCTGTTTAACTCACTGTGTCCCAAACTTAGTTGACCATGGCTCTTTTCTCCCAAGGAAAATCTGTTATGACAGAACCTGATTTCACTGGAATAGCAGCAGGCCCAGTCTCGGTGCATCATCAGGTCTCCAGGCCAGTCTTGGCAGTCCCTAATGGCAGCAATGCACAATCTGGCTAGTGAGACCTAAGGGGAAAAAAGATGGCATACAGAGAAGGTCTTATTATGCCTTGGATGCTGTTACCTGAAAAATAGATGCCTCTAAAGGTTGCAGCATCTTGCAATCAGAAAGTCACGCACTTTAGGTCAAGGCTAGGGGAAGAGAAGGAAAAAGCACTTGGATCTTTGATGCAGTGATTGAATCTGCAAGTTGACTTGATGACGGCCAGTCTCTATATTTCTTATAGAGGAAATAAACATCATGTAAGCTGCTATTGGGAAATCCCGGCTTGGAGTAAGGTAAGAGGGTGTCCTGCTGATTTCCTGGGAGATTGAGCATTCAGGGCATGCTTGAAAAGGAAGCATGATGGGTTGGTTGTTCAGAGCACAGACCAAGGGGATTAATTGAGCGATAAGTCTTTCCCTACGCAAGACTGAGCCTGCTGTTCTGATCATGGCAAAGTCAGCCTCATATGGGTCAGTGTGGCTCAAACAGTACGGAGTGTATCAGTAAGGATAGATTATGCTGAGGTAAGAAACAACCTTAAAATCTCAGTGTTTTCCACAACAAAAGTTTATGCCTCACTCAAGCTACATGTTCATTGTTAGCTAGTTGGGTACCAGTCATCCTCATTCTGGACCCCAGGCTGAGGGAGAATCCCCATCTGGAAAACTGTGAGTTGTACTGTAGCAGAAAAGAAAGCTCTGGGGATTTGTGCACTGATGACAAGAAAACTTGGTCCAGGAATAACACCCACCATTTCTCACAGCTCATTGAACACAACTGGTTATAAGGGGGCCAGGAATAGGAAACAGAACACCGTCAATTGCTATTACTCACATCAGAATGGTTGGCATAGCAATAGAAGTGTCTAGTCAGAAAGTATACCTGAGTACCTTAGATCCTTTCTGGGAAGTTTGTCTGGGCAAAAGTAAGGCCTAGGTTGGTGGCTAGAGAATTACAGGGAACTGGATTTGGCATTTGCTAAATGTTAGATAACGTATCTGGACTCTATCCAAGCAGCCTAAAATTCAAGGCAGGACACTAGCCCGAAGAGGAAAACTGGAGGGCCAATGAGACACTCAGCCTTGGTTTCTATTTGCTAAGTGCAGGGAGATAAGCTTTCCATATGGCTTAACTTAGAGACAGGATTTTCTGGAGCCAAGTGGGATGGGAAAGATGATTTTAGGTCAGGGAAGCAGGAAGGAGAATTTAACCAACCTATGGTTGAAGGAAGGCCAACGAGAGTTTCAGAAGTCAAATTTGAAGGAAGTAGTGAGGGCAGAAAAGAGAATAAGTAAACAAGGCCTGAGCACAGGAGGATTACAGGTGGAATGAAATGTAATGTGAGGCACGGTCTTTGACAAATGGTTTAGGAATAACGTAGTGAACCATGTGAGAAGAGTCAACACTTATGTTGCTTTGTGACCAGCAAAAGATAATTGCACAATTTCAAGGGATTGTGCCAGATTAGACAAACATGTATTTATATTTTAGGGGAGAAGCCTATGATTTGGTGAGGCTCCAGGTGCCCAGTTAGCCAATGGCAAAAAGATGAATTCCAGACCCACGGGCCATGGGAGGTAGGGCTGGTCTGAACTGGATATATATGGCCTGCCTCAGCATGGGTTACCTCAAAGGTGGAGCAGAGCTGAATCTTCAGGCAGAAGACTTTTAGTACCTATAGCTTTGCAGATCCCAGAAAGGCAAGGCTGGACAGATGTCAGCTTTCATCATTTCTAGATGAGCCTTTCCAGACAGACCTATGTTACTGGCATCCTTGGACCTCTTGTCATGCCTATCAACTCTGGTGCTCATTGGCCACCTGGTTCAAAATTTCTGTGAAATCTCTTTGGATGACTGTCCCCTCTCTTGAACCTGATGCTGGCCCCATTGTGCGTCCACAGGGACTATTCCAGATCTCCTGACATAGTAAGAGCTCAATAATAGTTGGTGGTTGATGACAGAACACAGAAGATTTACCCACAGAAAACGAACATTAAGTTGTTCAACTTGACCAGAAGCAACGCTTCTGGAAACTTGATAATATAAAAATGGATTGGATGAGGAGAAAAATTCATACCTGTTGCACTTCTATTTTACATCAGGCACGGTGCCAGGCACTTCAAAACATCATCCCGTTTATTCCTCACATCAGCCATGAGGCAGATTTTCTTTTCTCCCACTTTCTAGGATACGACACAGAGACTCAGAGGTTAACTGGCTTGCGTGTGTTCACATACCATGTCAATTAGTAAGTAGTGAAGCAGTGATCTGAAGAAGAACTCAGTGACTCCATGGCTCAAGGCCTTCTCACTTTACCACTGTGCTTGCCAACAGAAATAACACAGTACGTTCATCAACCAATGAGCATCAGAAAGGGCCTCCTAGATATTTATACATCTGCTAAAGAAGGGAACCATGGAGGAGAGAGCAATTAGCAAACTAATGAATCATCCTCTGTTGCACAAATAAGCTAATTGAATTTATTTAGGGAGAGGCAGTGTAGTGGTACCGCCTCCGTGTTTCAGCTACACAATCTTAGGCCGGTTGCTTATACTCTTGGAGCCATGGTTTTTGTGTCTTGTAGAGTGGGATTGTACTCCCTCCCAGGCCTCCCTCACCCAATTTATTATGAGGAGTAGCTGGGATGATGTATGCGCAATCAAGATGAAAACCGTCAAGAAATATTCAAAGGGAAGGCATCACTATTGGCTTTGCCTAAGTATCAGATATTAATCAATAAAACATTTTCCCTTTCAAATGTGTTAAAATTGTACAGCAGGGAGCCAGGCTCACCCCCGATTTTAATAAGAAAACACTTCTAATGAAGGCTTCAGGCATGAATTAAGTAAATAAAAATTAGGTTCATAGAAACACTTAATATGTAAGTTTAAGAGATTTGCTGTGCAGAATGGAAACTGACCATAAGATTCAGGGGGTTGTTAATGATAGAGAAACCTGAATTTATTAGCAGTGGGCTTGGTTTTCATTTAAGTGACTTTCGTTTAATAATTTCATATAATCGTCAAGTATTCAGAGGTACTGGGCAAAGCATCCTTTTTAAAAATGTACTTTTTCTTTCTAACTCCCTCTAGAAACTGGAAAAGGAAAAAAAAAGCTTTTTATATTTGACTCCCTCCTATTACTGTCAATAGCAGTTAAGTGCATTTATGGAGACACAAGGCAGCACAAAGATTCCTCTGTGATTCATCAGAAGGCCCATCTTAAGTATAATTACATTACACAGCTCTGCTCAGTCATTAGTTTCTTATTTAGCGACAATGTCCTTCATTTTAAATCCTTTGATGGTAATTATTTGTAACTATGCCCTTGAATTTTGAAAGCATGTGTACTGTGGCCCCGCTGAACAATGGGCATTTCTAAACTAGGACGCAATTGGCTTCCCCTAAGGGACCCTACGGGAAATGGTCTGTAACAACGCTGAAAATTTGCAAAAGGTTTCTAAGCTTGAGCTACAATCCAAAACGAAGGTGTGCAGCTATTCGTATGTGTGTGTGATAAAAAACTAAAAAGCAAGTCGTTAGGTATCAGGCAGGACTTTCTTAACCCTTACTGACCATGGCACATTTTAAAGTCTTCGACATTACCTAAATAAAGGCACATTCACACGTTATCATAGACTGACCCCCAAGTGAGGTACTTCTGAGACATTTTTAGTTCTACCAGTCACCTCTGTGCAGACAAACAGCTTGTGTTTATGCATTTATTCATTTATCGAGCACCACACGTGCCAGGAACTGTTTAGGTGCAGAGAACAAGGTCCTAAGAGGGTTGGTGCCCAAAGAGGAGCTCACAGGCCAGTGCAGGGGGACACATAAGCCCCAATAACTTGGTTATCCTCAGGTGTGTGAGAAAGGGCAGCTCATGTTAATGTTTCAGCTTACCTTCACCTGATGATTCAGTGGGAGTTTCCAGGATGTCCTTTTTTTTTTCTTTTCTTTTCTTTTCCTTTTTCTTTTCTTTTTTCTTTTCTTCTCTTTTCTTTTCTTTCTTTTTTCTTTCTTTTTTTTTCTTCCCTTCCCTTCCCTTCTTCCCTTCCCTTTTCTTTTCTTTTCTTTCTTATTTTTACTGCTCCCTTTGGAACTTATACCCCTATATCCCTCTTGTTCCCAGTGCAACTGGCAGCCACATCAACTATGCTCTGAATATAAAGGCCAATGCCCCATCTGGGTCTCCCTAAGAGAGGGCATCCCTCCCATATGCCTCATGTGGACCAGCAACACTGGCGTCGCATCTGAGGGTTATGGCAACCCTGCATGTTGCCATTCTTGTCTTTTATTCCCCACTTCCCTTTCCCCACTTTTGTTCTCTTGGGCTCCTTTGAAAGCCCCATTTATGTTCTTCACATATGGCAAGTATTTGGGGTCAAAACTAAAAACCTATAATGTGTTCCTCAGCAAAATGATTCGTTAAGCAAGGCTGGCTTCAACTTGAAAGAAAAGGTTTCAGTAGGCAACAAAACAAAACAAAAATCCCACAAACCATTCTGGCCACGCTGTAATTTTTCTTCATGAAAGCAAAATGTACTTATACTTTACATGTGTGCATTAAATAAAGCCTCCTTCCCCAGTGCAAGAAGGTGAGTATTGGAGCCATTAAAATTTTTGTTTTCAAGCTACATATGGTTATAGAAATCCACACACACACATTTACATTTTCCTAAAACACTGGCTTTATAGTAGGAACCAGAATTTTCTTAAGAATTAACCCTCTGGCCAGGTGGCCCAAAGAGAACACTGTAGAAACAATATTTGTGGAGTGCCTGTTACTGCCAGGCTCTGTGCTAGGAACTTTACACATAGTTTTCTGATTCCTTACCACTAACCCTAAAAGGTAGGTAGCAGGATTATCGTATTGACCCATGGGGAGAACTGAGGCCTAGGGGTTAAGAATCTTGGGGCGCCTGGGTGGCGCAGTTGGTTGAGCGTCCGACTTCAGCCAGGTCACGATCTCGCGGTCCGTGGGTTCGAGCCCCGTGTCGGGCTCTGGGCTGATGGCTCGGAGCCTGGAGCCTGTTTCCGATGCTGTGTCTCCCTCTCTCTCTGCCCCTCCCCCGTTCATGCTCTGTCTCTCTCTGTCCCAAAAATAAATAAAAACGTTGAAGAATCCTGCCCAAGATCTTTCAGCTTTTCTATCAAGCTGTCCCTCACTGTTGAGATGCCAGCGGGTTCTCAGGGTTCCCATGATCCTTGCCTCATCCGTGTGTGTTTTCCTTTTTCTATAAAGCACCGGGTCATGTTTGAGTGGGAGAGCAGTTGCTTGAGAGCATGGGACGCTCACAGCATGAGCACTGTCACTAAAGAGCAGGTGCTGGGCAGAATTCCTCTACAGCTATGAAAAGGGGGTGACCCCCGAAGCTCTCCATCGGAACGGATCTGAATTTGAATGCCAGCTCTATCACCTGGGGGACTCTGGACAAGCTGCTCATCCTTTCTGAGCCTTACTTTCTCAGCTGGAATGTGAGGTTACTGCTGTCCGCCTCTCAGCACTGTAGTTAAGGACTAGAGAGAACATAGAGGAAAATTCTTCATTCCCCTTCCTCGGTGTTCCTACCCTGCACAGCACTTCTGCTTTGCCAGAGCAGGCCCAGGCCTGCCCCTGTTTCTGAGTCAGTGCTGATCCGCTTTACCAGTTTAAGCCTGTCCAGATGTGGTCCTGACATCATGCCTGGGTCCTACTGTACCCGATTTTTCCTCTGATGTGCTGAGCCCAACTCCCCGATCCTTCTCATCTCTGGCCCAAGTGCTGGCTGGGGTCTGGCGAGCTGAATGAGCTGGACTTGCTCCTGCTGCTTGACTGGACACACATACCCACCTTCAACCTGGACCATGTCCAAGATGTCAATATCCTTTGGATAGCATTGAATGCCACCGTAGAGCTGGCCTTCACAAGTGGGTAGGGTCATCCTACTCGGTAATTTTTATAATATTCTGAGCAATTTCTAGGTACCAGGCCCTGCAAAAAAATAGGCATGGTCCAGGCAGTTAACCTAAGTGCTTTACATATATCATCTCATTTAATCCTTATGTAATCCTGGAAAGTAGGTACTATGAATATCTGCATTTTGAAAATAAGGAAACTGAAGCTTAGGAAGGTTAAGGGTCTTTCTCCAGTGACACAGCTAATAAGAGGGAAAGCCAGGCCCAGAATCCCGAGCCAGGGCTCAAAGCCATTATACCATGTTCCTTTCCATCCTACCTGTCAACCCTCTGCTGCTTCTTCCTTTTCCGGGTGTTTGATGCACTCCACGGCAGCAGGTGCCCCCTCCCCCCCCTTTTTTTAATGTTTATTTCTGAGAGAGAGAAAGACAGAGTGTGAGTGGGTGAGGGGCACAGAAAGGGAGGCACAGAATCCAGAGCAGGCTTCAGGCTCCGAGCTGCCAGCACAGAGCCCGAGGCGGGGCTCAAACCCATGAAGTGTAAGATCGTGACCAGAGTGAAGTCAGGCACTTAACCGACTGAGCCACCCAGCTGCTCCTGCAGGTGCCCTTTTTATTGCAGTACCTCTTACATTGTAGTCACTTGTCTCTATCTCTCATTAAATGGGGAGATCTGGGCCATACTTTATTTACCCCTGTGCTTGAGTGCTTTGCACAGTCCCTGGCACAGAGTAAGAACTTCAAGATGTTTGTTGACGGACTGGAAGTCCTAACCTCAGCAATCAGGCAACCAAAAGAAATAAAAGGCAAGGAAGAATGATTGGCAAAGGAAGATCACTGGCAAGGAAGAAATCAAACTTTCACTCTTCGCAGACGACATGATATTCTATGTGGAAAACCTGAAAGACTCCACAAAAAAACTGCGAGGATTGATATGTGAATTCAGAAAAGTCACAGGAT